TGTGGGACATACAGTGATGGGTTGTTATGGTATTTAAACCAGAAATAATTTTCTAGCTATGGTAATGGTAGAGCCAGAAAAGCAGAAAGCTTTGTCATACACAAAATTCTCATCTGCTGAAATCATACTAACCCATGCAGGAAAAACAGAACTTGTCACAGCCATGGTTATTATAAATCCATATACTGCATTCCCATGAAATATCAGAAAAACAGGCATTGTAAAAGAAGAATGCACATGATAAAGACTAAAATTCAAAAGCTCAATACCAGCCTCAAGGTAATGAAAGGTGGGGCCAGCAATGAATAATATACATTCTGACAGATACAATTTAGCAGTAATGAATCTGAATCTTCTTTATGGCCTATACATACCTCAGAAAAATTAATAAAAAATACACCTAGGAAAGTATTTTCAGATACCCTCCAACAATGATTTATGGGGCTGTGTTTATTACAGTTTTGTTTATTTTTAAATGTTGAAATTGAAAACCTTATCCTTTTCTTTTTTTTTTCTAAATCAGTTTATTTCTCATATTTAAGCATGGTGCTAAGACTTACTGCAGATAACCACTCAGCACATTTGCCCAAAGCAACACATTCAGATTAAAAAGGTCTGACACAGGACAACTTAGGGAGAATCAGAAGCTATTTTCTCAACAAGCTACAGCATTTAACAAGTGCCAGCTATTAGGGGAAATCCTTGTTACTAGGCCTACATCAAAGCTCTTTTGATAAAGAACAGCTTTCACTTCAAGTAATCCATGTCACAGCAATTTTGTTATTTAATTCTACTACTGCATTACCTAGCACTCAAAACCAGAGCTGAACTCATTTATGCCAAGAGATAGTCTGCTCTGCAGAGGGCTAATTTTCTGCTGGAGCAGATTTTGTGTGCAGTGTGCCTGGTGAAGCCCAGCTTTCTGTGATGCCTGGTTTTCACCTCTGCACAGGCTTGGGAAGTTCAGCATGAACATCTCCTCCCACTTTGGATACAGAGAAAGGTCTCCTCCTTCAGTGACATGTTTTTTCATAAATAATGTCTATTTACCTTCAAAGTATTAATATTATTGATAAAGACACAGGAACTATTGTGTCAGATCAGACCAGTACCCAGAAACCTCTACTGTGTCTGGCAGCAAACAAGGACTTGTATTTCAGAAAACTAAGTTCCCCATTTCCAATTCTGTTTCCTGTCTTTGGACAAAGCAAGTCACATTAATAAAGGTAATGTTAAAACAACCTCCATGTTCCTTCTCAGGCTCACTTCCACAGTGGCACTGCTGGTAGGCAGCCTACTGAAGATGCAAGTGGTTTGTAAGTGCTTCAATAAAATGCTCACTTAAAAAAAAAAAGACAAAAACCAAAACCAAACCCCCCAAAACACTAAAACATGCAAAACCCCAAACTCAGAGTCTTTTGGTGGTGCAGCCAGATAATTGATGAAACTTCTTAATGACATACAAGGGCTATAACTTTCCCCTGAGCTTTATGACAAGCTTTGCTGTGCTACTGACAGTCTTTGTTAAGGGTATGTGGAATGCAAAAGCATCTGGTTCATTGCATTTGTTCAGTATAAAAGAAGATGAGGGCAAGTGATCTATGAAACACACACAGGTGCACAAAATTTGCTGAATAAGAAGGTGGTAACAGACAAGAGTGGAGAGCAGAACTTGGAGGCCATTGAAGGAGCTGCCCAGGAAGAGTCATCTTGAAGAGAAGAGGGTCTCTCTGAGCTTTGTTTCTGGGAAGAATAGGAAAACGTGATTATCCGTGAGTAGCACAAGATATTTGAGGGGGTGTATAGCACTGTGCAAAATTCCTTATGGTGTATCAGCAGGAGTCTGCAAAATGTTCTATGGGATGTTCACAGAACTGGCCAAAGCCAGGGAAAGAGAGGATCTAGGAAAACTCATGGGAAAATGAGATGTAAGGGGACTCACAGGTGAGCTGGCAGCATTCAGTACATTTGTCTTACTGAGCTCTCTGCCTGACCTCAGCAACTAGTCCTATCTTTTTATGAAGATGGTTTCTAACTTTTCTTTTGCACCTAAATATTCTGCCCCAGTGAATTTAATCCTGTGGATGTGTAATCTGCTATCAGATTTAAACTGGACTAGGCAGTGAGCAGGAGACACACATACATTTATGGGAGGGCCAGAGTCCAGGCATGGGCACTGGATGGACTGAGGGGCCATGGGGATTTGTGACTGAGGCAGTTCTGGTGAGTACAGGGAATGAGGGTGTGTGAGTGATCTCCTGGGCATTTCAGTCCTGCTCAGCTGGACAGGGGGAGCAGCATTTCACTCTCTGAATGTGCATTATGTGTCATTGTTCTGTGTGCTGGCTCTGTGAGTGCCCTCTGTGTGTGCCACACTTGTCCAGCACACTTGGGAGCATAAGGATCCTGCTGGGTCCAGAAATTGTACATGGATGGATTTCAGCTGCCAGAAGCAACAAACCCCAGGTACCAGAGAAGTCTGGATTCAACACCTCTCATAATATCCCTAGACTTATTTTTTTTAAAAAATCCACTTTACAGATGGTTCATGGGAATAGTAAAAGATTTGAACTTGAAAGGAATATGGTGAATTTTAGTTTATGAAAAATACTGTCAAAATATGAAAGAAAATGCTGACAGAACTGTACTTCTCTGTACTGCTATAGTAATCTTACAGACCTTATTTTTAATATTTTAAATTTATTTAAAATAATTTTTAAGAGCACTGCATACATATGAAACATAATTGTACTAAAAGTAATTTATCATCCAATTAATGCCATCTTCTGAGGAATAAGAAGGCAAAATCTATGCTGTGTTTTGCCTGCTAGCCAGCCTTCTGAACATATTCCACATATACCAACTACATTACAACTTGTCTGTGATGATGCTATTTACCAGGAAACAGTATCTCATTACAATGGTATTTAACACCCTACTGTGGACTACATCTTACTTTACACTTTGTTCAAAAACTAGTTCAAGCTCTTATTTCCTTTTTTTAAAATTTTTATCTCCATTCTGTAATAGCTGTGATAGCAGGTATTATCACTGGAGATTCCTCATTCTAAGGTAAGGTGTGGAAAGTGTTCTTAGCATGGAATAAGTGCCTGTCTTTGGGCAGTTACTTAGTTGTCATCACACACAGAACACAAAAACAAACAAGCAAAAACCCACTTGAAGAAAAAATAATTTCTCCAGTAAGGTTTTTCTTTGGAGTCTTGCTGAGTGTTTTTGTCTAACATCTTAAATAATTAAACTGTGCAGTGAGATAGGAGAACTGAGTCATCATGGCATTATGGAAACACATCAGCTACAGGACTGAAGTTTAATGAAGAGTTTTATATATAGGACTATGTCTAATAATGAATTCAACATGTCACTTAGCTCATAACAAACAAGGCATATATCCATGTATGTCCATGCTACTCAGGAGCATGCACAACTGTCCCCTGAAGACAGCTGGAAAGAAGGATTTAATGGCAGAAAATATTGTCAACACCACAACTGGATCCATGGAAAATATTCTTAATCACCTGTTCTTTGCCCTTTTCATCCTATGTGCTTTAAAATACTTTTCCATGTAAACATTTGAATTTCTAGAATAGTAATCAAATCCTTTATTTTTCACTTTCTCTTGACACTAACTGACTTACTTGGAAGCACTTATTTTCCATGTCTATTTGCTAGCAAAAAGGCCAGTATGACAGCTGAGTATTTGCTTAAATGATCTTATGATCTTAGAGCAGCCTGACTGATTACAACAAACTGGCAGGTGCTTGCCATGGTTTTGCTTGCAGTACAGTTGTCCCAGGCAGGAAGATGTCTCCTGTGAAACCTGCAGAGCAAGACAGATGTCTCCAATTATCATTTTGATGGTGTTAAGGTATCACATAATGCTCCTGTTTTAGGCAGGCAAGAGTAAGTTTGGTTTCTTAATGCCAGATGTCTGGTGTGTTCATGTTTTGTGTTGGACAGGGAGGAGTTTGTGCACTTTTCAATGACAGCTGTGTCCCCAGATTGCAGTGCAATTAAATTGTCTTGGAAAAAAATTTAAAATGTAGAATATGTTCTTTTCAACTTTGGTTTTTTGCACATTGAACTTGAGATTGATGTAGCCAATACAAGCAAACTATATAAATGGGCGCTGACTAAGCCTTCCTAAGTATTCCTAAGCCTTTCAGGTAACAAGTGTCAGGATGAGAGGATGTAGTGCTAAGCTGTGCCAGGGGTTTAGATTGGACATTAGGTGAACTTTCCTAACACAAAGGGCGACTAGACACTGGAATGGACTGCCCAGGGAGGCGGTGGAATCACCGTCTCTGGTGATGCTTGAGACTGAACATGGCACTCAGTGCCGTGGTCTGGTTGACAAAGTGGTGCTGGATCCTGAGTCGGACAAGATGATCTCAGAGGGTTTTTCCAACCAAATTGATTATGTGATTCTGTATGCTGAGGTGTGATTAAACTACAGTCTCTGCGGCAGCAACTATAATTTTATCTGTACAGTGAACAGCAAAAAAAAGGAAAACTCGGCATTTCTTATCTCAGCAAACGGCAGGAGCCAGCACAGCACCGCAGAACAAGGGGCAATGAACCATCCCTGAGGTTAGCCCTGTGCAGGGCGGGACGGGCAGGCGGGACCCTCCGGGGACGGGGCAGCTGCCCCGGCCAGTCCCGGCTCCCCGGGTGCTGCCCCGGCGCTGCCGCGGCCGGTCCTGGCTCTCGGGGGAAGATCCCGGCACGGCCCGGCCGGTCCTGGCTCTCCGGGTGCTGCCCCGACGCTGCCCCGGCCGGTCCCGGCTCTCGGGGGAAGATCCCGGCACGGCCCGGCCGGTCCTGGCTCTCCGGGTGCTGCCCCGACGCTGCCCCGGCCGGTCCCGGCTCTCGGGGGAAGATCTCGGCACGGCCCGGCCGGTCCCGGCTCTCCGGGTGCTGCCCCGGCCGGTCCCGGCTCTCGGGGGAAGATCCCGGCACGGCCCGGCCGGTCCCGGCTCTCCGGGGAGGCCCCGCCCGGGCCCGGAGCAGCTTCCGGGGCAGCCGCGGCCGTTCCGGGCGGCGGCGCGGGCGCCATGGGGGTGACGAGACAGAAGCACGCGAAGAAGATCATGGGCTTCTACAAGCACAACTTCCAGTTCCGCGAACCCTTCCAGGTGCTGCTGGATGGCACCTTCTGCCAGGCCGCGCTTCGCAACAAGATCCAGATCCGGGAGCAGCTGCCCGGGTACCTGGGCGGCGCCGCGCAGCTCTGCACCACGCGGTACGGCGGGGAGCAGAGGCGCCCCGGGGCCGGAGGGCTGGGGGCTGAGGGTGACCGGCAGGAGGCTGGGAGCATCCTCGGGCCCAGCTGCCGTTCCGAAAGCGGCACGGACTGCGGGGCCAGCGGTGACCCCGCGGTGTGAAGGAGGGCCGGGTGGGTCTCTGCCCACCCGCAGCTGCTTGGCGGGGTGGTAGCAGCAGGGGCAAGCGCAGATCTGGGCCGGGAGGGAGCTCCTGCTGGGTTGTTTCCAAAGCTGCTGTTCGCAAGGGAGGACAAGGATAGGCCGGACAAAGATATGGTAGTTAAACATGCACACTGCATACTGAAGTTGCCTTCAAGTTGCCGTTGTTATTACTTTTTTAGATATATTGTATATATTGAAATACAAAAATTCAGTTACATTGTATTTCTGCAATAACAGACTAGCCAACTGACCGCTATGGAGGCAAGTAGTGAGAACGCCAGGAAGAGGTATACTCTAGGCTCAAAAAACACACTGAACCTTCTTGCACAGCATCTTCTAAGCAGTGTAAAGTATTGAGTCATGTCGTTTGGTGTGAAAGGTTTGGGAATTGCTTTGATCCAAACTACTCCTGTCATGTTGAAACATCTCTTCTTTCTTCTTTTATCAGCAATATCTGTTGGTCATTTTGACCAGCTTCCACTTAGGCCCGCTGAATGTACATGTTTTCTCCGCTGCCAGAATACTGAGTTGCTGAGACAGCACCTCAATGTTATGAAAAGAGCCTCGTGTGGGAAATGAGCTGGCTCGCTGAGACCCCAGGTGGGGTCTCACTAGTGTGGAGTAGGGAGGGAGACTCCCCTGCCTCACCTTGCAGTGCCTTGCCTGCACGGCTTTTGATGAAGCCCAGGACACAGCTGGCTTTCACACTGCCAGCTCATGTTGAGCTTCTTGTTCACCAACGCACCTCCCAGGTCACTCTTGTCAGGGCTGCTCTCAATTCATTCTCTTCCATCTCAATCCATTTGTACTTGGGTTGCACTGACCCATATACAGGACCTTGCACTTGGCATTGTTGAACTTTACAAGGATTACACAAGCCCATCTGAGGCATCTCCAGGCCCCTCTGGATGGCATTCCTTCCCTCCAGAGAGTCAACAGCACCACACAATTTTGTGTCTTTGGCAAACTTGCTGAGGGTGCACTGGATCCCACTGTCCATGTCACTGAGAAAGATGCCACATGTCCCAATACCAACCCCTGAGGAACAACACTTGTCACTGGTCTCCACTTGGACATTGAGCTGTTCACTGCAATTCTTCAATGCAAGCCTTCAGTTAATCCATATCCACCCAGTGACACATCTGTCAAATCCATGCCTCCAGTGTAAAGACAAGGATGTTGTGTGGAACAGTGTGCAGAGCTTTGCATAAGTCCAGTTGGGTGACATCTGTTGCCCTTCCTTATCCATCAGCACTGTAACTCTGACACACCAGATTTTTCATTATTTCCCCTTAGTGAAACCATGTTGGCTGTCACCAGTCAACTCCTTGTTTTCCTCATGTCTTATATATTTTCCAGGAGGATCTGCTCCATAATCTTGCCAGGCACAGAGGTGAGACTGACTGGCCTGTTGTTCCCCAGATCTTTTATTTCCATTTTAAAAAATAAATTACATTTTCAAGTTTTATAATAAGTTAATTTAAAAATAAATTAAATTTTAAAAATAATTTTATTTGTTAGGTAGTGGTTCATATGCTCGGTGGTATTCAAGCATAAATTTAAGGACTCAGCATTGTCGCTGATGTGAATTATTTTTAAATCATTGAATATATCTTAATTTTATTACTGGTTAATCATGTTTACAGCCAAGGAAACCTTGGTGGTGTCTTCAGATGGGTTATATTTTTCGGATTTCTAGGTGCCATTTGCAAATCATAGAGCCTGAACAACTGGGCATTGCTCATTCCTAAGTAACTCCCATCAGCCTTTTGCTGTTGTAAAAAATATGAGGGGCTTTTCTGTTTAGAAATTATTGTCTCTTTTGGTTTTCAGATGTGTCATAAAAGAACTTGAATCACTGGGGAAAGCACTGTATGGAGCAAAATTAATTGCCCAGAGATTTCAAGTTCGAAGCTGTTCTCACCATAAGAATCCTGTGAGTGGTTCAACCTGTTTACTTTCCATGATTGAAGATGGCAACCCTCATCACTTCTTTATTGCCACACAGGTAAAAGCTCATGGGAAATGTAGCTCCATTTCTTTTGAAGTGATGTTTTGATACCTAAGGATAAAGAAGCCTACAGTAACTTTGATTATGAGGTTTTTAAATAGTTGGTGGAAATTAATCATGTAAAGCCTTATTTGCTCTTTAATGTATTTCCTAATTACAAAGCAGGGAATATTTTCTCCTACTTGAACAACTAGATTTTTTTACTTTGTAATGATATTGCTTACTTTAGGTGAAAGAGTATGAAAACATACTGACTACCTATTGACGTGTAAAAAACAACTCATGAATGTTAATTTGCATATTGCTTGCGTGTGCATCCTCTTCCCTGAACTGCTTTGCACAGTAGTCTGAAAAATGAAATTAAATGTTAACATCCATATAACTTCAATTTTAAGATATTTTGAACTAAAGAATAAATAACTATACAAGTAAAATAGGCATTTTTTTCTTGGGTTTGTTATTGAGACTGCATCTATAAATGATATACAATATATATAAAAGAGTTTATAGTCAAATTCTTTATAGTTATGTAAGTTACAGGAGTTAAAAAATTATTTATTACAGAAAAAATAATGTGGCGTGGTGGTCTGCATACAAGTGAATTGGGACATTTTCCTCAAAAAATGTATGTATGCATATACATGCAGGAAAAGGGAAAATGTTGGTAAATTTTGCATCAGGAGTACAGCTAATCAGGAGAGAAATTGAAATTTAGTTACTCTGAAAGGCACTGCCATGTATAGCTGCTAAATTAAGTTTCTTATCTTTTTCATAATGTAATTTATCTTCAAAGTTTTGTATTAAAAGTAGGTGCATTTGAATTGCAAATACCATTTCATCTGAAAATATTGACTAAAGTGTTTAATCTTGCAGGACCAAGAATTATCAAACAAAGTGAAAAGGAAGCCTGGCATTCCTCTCCTCTTTATTATTCAGAACACTATGGTGCTGGACAAACCTTCTCCTAAATCTTTGGCATTTGTTCAAAAGTTGCAGACAAATCAGCTTGTTCCAGAGTACCAAAAACAAAGTATTGTGGAGCTTAAAGAAAAAGAAGGACTAATAAAGCAAGAAGGTGAAAAGAGAAGAAAACGCAAAAGGGCAGGAGGCCCCAATCCTCTCAGCTGTCTGAAGAAGAAAAAGAAGAAAACACAGGAGGGTCAGGAGCCTTCTGCTGAAAAGAAGAAAAGAAGAAAAAGAAAACGAAATAGAGTTAAAGCAGAAGTCATACAGTCATGCAGTCAGAATGAAGGAGAATAAACCCATCTTTGCAAATTTTGCAAACACAAAATTTGAACATTGTTTGAACTTTGAAAAAAAATATAGATTAATATACAGTCATATGAAATTGAGTTGTTAATATTAAAATTTATTTTTGTGAGATGGTACTGTTTATTACTGTATCTCAGTATTTGCAGGTTATTGCCCCAATAATTTATTCTTATTTAGTGTTGCGTTTGCAACAAAATATTTAAGAACCCTCATATTTCATTATTCTCTCCAGCATCATGGTTTGTGTTAAAATTCACATGCTATGTAACCAGTTTTTAGAAATGCTTCTTGGCCTCGATATGGATTTCAGTGGGATATTAGACTTCTTTCTAAATGGAGGTTGCTGATCTTCATAAAACTAGTTTTTACAGCTGGCCTGTTAGAGATTATGAAACTGACCTAATATAACACAATAGCTTATTTATCTCTGTTTGAATACAAAAGTTTACTCTTGCAAAGAGACCTCATGCCCTCAAAAGCCCTGTCCAGCCTAAATTTCTCTCTAAGTACCATGTGAACCAATAGTTCTCTTGATGCTGATCTTTATTTATTAAGAAAATCATGGAGGGTGTGCAATTGTGTTGTTATTCCTGACATTATAAGAGCATCTCCAGTCTTACCTATTTCACCTGTAGTTTATTCTTTTTTTTAATAGGAAAAATGCAACTTAAAATTGCTGAATCAAAGCACTGGTAGTACCTAATGCCATCACAGTGTAGCAGAGCGGTGCAGGACTCCTGGAATGCAAACAGCTGAGGGTGATGGGACTCAGGCCCTAATGACTGTTCTGTTCTGTTCTGTAAGGTTAGGAACAGATCAGAACTGGGTTGGAGGAGAGTTCTGGTCTAACCCCAGCTGGCAACTCAGCCCCATGCAGCCATGCACTCAGCTTCCCCCTGCGCTGGGATGGAGAGAATCGAAGGGTGAAGTGAGAGAACTTGTGGGTTAAGATAAGGAAAGTAAAAAGCATGCAAAACACAAGCAAAGCAAAACACAAGCAGTGCAGAAAAAGGAATTCATTCACAGCTTCCCATGGACAGGCAGGTGTTCAGCCACCCCCAGAAAAGCAGAGCTCCATCAGGTGTAATGGTGACATGGGAGGACAAACACCACTCCAAATGTCCTCCCACCTTCTTTTCCAGCTTTATATGCTGAGTGTGATGCCATATGCTATGGAATATCTTGGGTCAGTTGAAATCAGCTGCCCTGCCTGTGTCCCCTCCCAACTTCTTGTGTCCCCCCTGCCTACTTGCTGGTGAGGGGAGAAGCAGAAAATGCCTTGACCCTGTGTAAGCACTGCTCAGCAATAACGAAAACATCTCGACACTTAAGCACAAATCCAAAAACACAGCTACTGTGAAGAAAAGTAAGACACATAGCTACTGTGAAGAAAAGTAAGGCTACCACAGCCTAAAGCAACACAAGGAGATAGTTTCTAAAATGGTTTCAAGTACCTGATTTTCATTGCTTCCTATGCCTCCTTAAATGTTTGGTGGCATTAGAGTCTGAAGTGAGTGACCAAATTGACAATAGAGAGATGTGCATCATAGCACATGCTGTGGCATCAGTGTGCTCTCACAGTGTTCCAGTCATCTCTTGCCAGATTTTTAACTGTTATCAACGCATTTCTTCTTAATTGAGATGTTCTTTAAAGGAAAGCTTTCTGCTTCTTGACCTACATGGGTTTAAGCTGTGTGTTCTACACAATTCCTTAGCATGTGTATCATGCATTTGCAAAGTATTTTCGTGCACTGTCTGCACAGGTTCTTGAATGTCTGGAGCACATAGCTATCATCTATGACGCTTTCTGTTGGCTTTTAAAATTATATAGACAGTTGTTTCACAGAGTTTGAGAAACCAGCTTGAGTGATGGGAGTTGGCCAGGCTTACCAGACTCTCCAGGGTCACATCTGCCTAGCACAGGAGGTGCATGGTGTGTGTGCTCTGTGCTCATGGCACAGGACACTGCTGCAGCCCCAGCCCAGGCCTTCCTTGCAACACAGCTGCTAGGAGCAGGCTATGCCTGCGTTGTTCTGTTTGAGGCCATAAGCATCTTTGGAACAGACTGTGAGAGACAGAAGCAGGGCAGAAGGGGGCTATAGTCAAGATGAAAGCTTTAATTGAAATTTAAAACAGTCACGCTCATTGTGATGTTGTTCTCACACTGATTGCTGAAGTGAGTCCTGAGGAGAAATTCAGTAACTCCTAGAAATATCTTAATGCAGCATATTTGTTTGACACTTTTCTCAAACTGTCATAGTCCCTATACCTTCACTTCTTTGGGCACAGTCCCATATTAATGTAGTTTTGCTTCCCATTCTTTCATAAATATTGCTTATATTTCTTCCTCCTCCTGAAACCCACCCACAGATATCACTACTGTAAGTAAAACTTGGAGCAGAGTTGGTTCGCCATCAAAATCACATTCTGAGTCAAAAGTATATTAAAACCCAGTCACTTTACTAAAAATATTGTTTAAAATAGAACAGAAAACACCCTAATTATTTACAGAAGTCCCTTTCAGTGTCATTGAAACACAAAGCTTAAATTCACCTTTTTTTAAAGACTGTGAACAGACACAAACATAATTTCTGTTAAAAAAAGAGAATATTTAAACAGTCCTCTAATGATTCCCACCTTAAGGAATTTAAAACAGCATTTTTCAGTGTTTCCTTATAATTTGAACACAAACTGGCTCATGGTGCTGCCATTGGGAAGAACTCACAGAGGGAGTGAGCTCTTAAGAGAAAAACTGTAAAATTTATCTGCTGCATAAGTGCAACTCTGCTCCTGTGTGGTAAGTAATTTGCCTCTGAGCTTTGGGAGAGAGCGCCCACCCGGGCAACAAGCACAATCAATGGTTTGGAATTTGAAAGAGAAGCCCACCAATTTCCAAGTGAAGCAAGTCCAGCTGACTGGCTGTGTTTATGCCTTTAAGTCAGTAACCCCGGGAGCAGCCGCTCACACCGAGCCCCGCCCGGGCTGGGCTCTCGCAGCTCTCACCGCTGTGGCTGCCGGCTGAGCGGCCCCTCTGCCTCTGCCTGCCAGGTTCTGGGAGGTTTAGCTGGCCCAGGCTGTGAACCTTGGCACGTCCCTCTAGGAATTCAGCAGTGTGAATCCCTAGGAGCATCCCTAGGCCTGTGAGAAACACCACTGTGGGAGCACTCACAGAGCCAACTTTGCTGTCATAGGTGTTCACTCCATGTACTGCCCAAAAGGCCACTGTCTCATTTATCAATAAAAAGGCTGGAGTTGTGACCACAACTCTGCTATCGGCAGGGCTCCCAATATAACTTTCTCATGAAGTTTAGGATTGTTTTGCTCTAGGGTGTTAGAGAGACTGGTTTCAGTTTTGAAATTACAGAAGCCAGAGGTAAATCAAAAGGAGCTTGACCAAAAACTTATTTGAGGCTGTTGATTTCCTCTTTTCTCAGACAGTATAAAAATATACCCCAAATCTGAGGCAGCAGCTCACTAAGTCTTTTTTTTTCTTTAAAAAGACAGGGAAATAACCAGTGTTATACAATACAATGTATGCTACATGTGCAGGGTAATAGAGGAAGAAAACAATAATACATCAGCCACAGTCTGCAGGGCATTAATGTTGAATTTAGGATGGAGTCTCATCTACAAGCAGCAGAAGATCTTTACCTAGACTGCCTGCCAATTCAATTGGCTGGATTTATATGTTAGTGTGATCCAGTAGAGTACAATAAATCACTCCCTGGGCATCTGTTAATGACACTAAATAGATGAGTTAATTAGAAGCCTCTGGAACCTGGGATGTTTATGAATCATTAAAGTAAATATGAATATGGTATGACTTGAGGAATAAATACATTCTGGTGGTGAAAGGAAAATAGGATGTCCAGATCAGTCCTGCTCATTTGTTTTCAACTACACTGTGATACAGTGTGAATGACTTCTCCATCAGCTTTATAGTGCTCCTGGAGTTTCTTGAACATGTTCTGTCAGATACAAGATGAAGAACATCGGAACAATGCCATTATTTATATTCACTGCATCTTTCATATAGAAGTTTCACAAACAGCTACTGTATATTTCATACCTCTGTGTGGGCGTAATATCTCACACAGGGAGCAGCCAGAGATACGGGAATGAACAAATAAGAGCCCCAGCAGGTGTTATCATTTACAATTTAAGGGAGAAAAATTGCAGTGTTCCGAGAGAGAATGACAGAAAGCAAAAGTTTTTGTACCCAGAGAGTCAGGAGTGAGAGAGAGACTGCACCTTGTGATTTAGGAATGGCCTAACTAATGCCAGGAAAGGGGCTTGTGATGTATTTCTGGTAATTATTATGTCTGTGCACTCCAAGCCCCAGATTTGTCTCAGAGAGCTCAGCTGTCTGCACACAGAGGCAGTCATTTTGTAAAAGTTGCTACAGCTTGTTATAGAAGAGCCAGGCTGGGCTCCCTCGGGGGGACTTTGTTTTCTGATTTCTTCTCCTGTGGTTGAGAGGGAGAGCATGCAGCTGTGCTTTGTGTATGGATACAGGGAAACAACGAAGCTGTTAACAAGGGTCCAATTAAAAACAAGCCAGAGCTGGAAGAAAGAAAAAAGACAATATATTAGTCACTGAGATTTAAAGAAACCAAGGAAGAGAGAAAAAAACATATATGAGGGTTTCACAGTGCTAACTGGAGGAAAGAATTGGTCAGCAGTGAAAGGTGAACCAGAAATGGCTCAGCAATCAAGGAGAGTAGGGAACACAATAATAAACTATAAACAAGTTCTTTTAAAAAATCTTTCTAATTACCTTAAGAAAACCTCGTTATCCTTTGTGGCTCAGTTTCTCACTTTTCAAAACAGCAAGCTGAACTGACTAAACTGCTTGCAGATCCTGTGCTGATGGCCCAAGAAGTCCTGCAGAACGTCTCATGCCACCAAACCCTTTGTGTCTTTATGGTTTTTCAATATTACTCACTTTGCAGCACTGCAGGTTAGCAGCCAAATCATTCTGCTGTAGAGTTTGCCTGACCTTGCATGTGGCTCACTGCCCAGCATGCAGATATTACATCCAGGAGCAACCCTACTCATGCCATTACTGATAGGGTTAATTGCTCCTGAGGGTACTCACAGCAATATTCT